GAATTGCTTCTTATTTTGTAAGCAAGAAATATTTTGGTAAAAATCAACTTTGTAACTTTAGTTAGTATCGTAAGACAAAAATAATGTGTCATTAATAGAGAGTATTTGCTGCGGTTTTTTGGACTTTTTGCTGCGGTTCGAAACCGCAGCAATAAGTCAAAATTCGATTTTTTTAAATAGTTATTTGCTGCGGTTCTGAACCGCCGCAAATAGGTTTTCCCACTATTTGCTGCCCTCCCAATTGCTGCGGTTCATAACCGCAGCAAATAGGCAAAAAAGACCACAACAAATAGCTATTATTCTAGTAGTACAGTGGAGCTTAATATCTTCTAATTCTTCTTTAATTTTAGAAGATAAAGATTACACCGTAATTGTACAAAAGCTAAGTAAACATAATGTAAAACCATTCTACAATGTGGTGTTTATGTACTACTAAATAGTACGCATCACTCACTCTGTAAAACAAAAACTATTAAGCAATGATCTTAGGATGACAACCGGAAGTGTATGTAGATTTGTCCCACCATAGTGTTTGTTGGTACATGACAACTGGAAGATCACGATTACATATGTTCCACGAGTTGTTCGGAATATGCATTGTACAGTGTACAATGCAACCTCTTATCCCTATGCATGGCAAAATTAGAATATGTAAATTATGTCAAGAAAAGAGTACCATGCATGTCATCCTTAACACCTTTTAAGTTTAAAAGCTTCTCAAAAATTTTTGTTGAAGGAAATGATGTCTGTCTTTATTTGTTTGGTAATCTTCAACACTTAGTTATTTCATGCTATGTATTTAATAATTTATGTAACTATATTATGTGTAATAATATTGTAATCTCGAGCCTCCTTCGAGATGTAATTGGTGCATTTCAGGTCGATGATATGGTGTTCAACGCGGAAGCTGGAGTGCAAACAAAGTGGTGTAACTCTTACCTTTGTGATTTATAGTTAAGTGATACAACCATTTCAAATTTTGTTATATTATATAATGTTCTCATTTATTAACATCAACAGAATTTACATATTCTAATTTTGCCATGTATAGGGATAAGAGGTTGCATTGTACACAGTACAATGCATATTCCGAACAACTCGTGGAACATATTAAAAGCACATCAGAATATATATGTAACCATGATCTTACAGTTGTCATGTACCAACAAAAGCTATGGTAGGACAAATCTACATGCACTTGCATATACCAATTTATTGCAAAGAATTATTACTTAATTTAATTAATACTTTACTTATATTTCTTTTGGAAGACTGAATTCAAGTGAGCAGATGGGGGTCTCAACATCATATAATGCCTCAAAGGTTCTCCTTGACGTCAATGTCCCTAATATTGAAGAGTTTCGAACCAGGTACTATTGATAATGTCCATGATAAGTGTGCTGTATGTAGCAGATTTAAAAAACCAAGCCACTTTTAGCAATTATTTCAATCTATTGAAATTTATTGAAATTACTAAGGATGTTGGCTATGGGCTCATCACAATCCTTGAGCTAAACATCACCACGAGCTGTTTAGATCCTTCTTATACAATTGAAACAAAAGGCTTTGTAATATTTTATAATAGGATTTCATAGTAATATATTTTTTGAAACTAAAGTTGATTTCCCCATTCACTTTAGGTCATGTCGCGCAAGAGCCATAAAATATGATAATGAATTTGAGTGCACGAATTGAAGTGCGAAGTGTGGTCTTGTGAAGAAAACTGACTCTACAAATTGAAGCTGAATGTTGTGCATGGTCGTCACAAGGCGGGGTGATGAGTGTTTTCTCGCACTTAAAATGGTTATAGAAAAGTGGTTTAAAGTACGAGTATCGTCTCCACAGGGACGGACAAAAGGGAATTAAGGATTAACTAAATTCAACGATTAAAAAGAAATAAATAAAATAAAATAAAATTGTGCGAGATTGGTTGATTGAATTAAAATTAAAACTAATGCAGATGAGCGATTAAAATAAATGTGGTTTTCTTATTAATTAACGACGAAGGGAACAGGGATTGATTCCGGGGTAACCAGATTTCTGGCAGATCAGGCCTAATTACATGAATTTAATTTAATTGAGCCTAGCTAATCATTACTAAGTTCTTACCGCTCTCGCGGCGTAGAGTACAATAATTTAGGGGACCAGGCTGATCTCTCATGCGACAGGATCCTAACTTATTGCCAAGACGAGCGAGCTTATGGCCCCTTAATCGTTACTAATCTCTTAGCGAACGATTAAGTGTGTGTGAATGTGTCCTAGAACAAATTAGATCTCTCTTAATTCATTCTACATGCAATTGTAATTCTAGCTGCAGTCTAGGTTACAAGAGATATCAATTAAATTATTCAAACACAAATTAAACGGCATTCATGCAATTAAACCGAAAAGAATCTAGCCATATATCATGATTAACCCCTTCATCAATTCCAAATCCCTAATTAAAACTACTCACAATTCATAATTGAAGAATCAATAGAATTGGAATAAAAAGAATTAATTGTCATTAATAAAAAAGGTGGAACTTACAAAGAATCCCAAAAGATTGATGAAAAAGGCTGAAAAGCCCTCTAAAATTCGTGCTAGGCACTCTCTCTAAGCTCCCCCCTCGAAAACGGGGTTTACAGGCTGTTTAAATAGGAAAAACGGAACAAATTCGGGCGAAATTAGGATTCCAGGGGTAACGCACGGGACCAACGCACGGCGTGCGTCCCCCAGTGCGTCCGGAGCAATGAAACGCGAAATTTGGCAACACACGGCGTGCGTCCCCCCACGCATGGCCGTGCGTAGCTGGCAGTAGGTTCTTTGCTTTCTCGCCTCAGACGCACGGTCGTGCGTTCCCCTACGCACGGCGTGCGTAAAACTTCCGAATTTGACAAAACTTCCTTCATGAAAGTTGTAGATAATGAAGTCCTCTATCCACCACAATCAGCCGAATGTGATTTGAATCATCCAATAAAGAGATATGATCAAAACGGTGGAAGGTGTCTTTCTGAAATCGCAGCAGAGATCATCTGACCTCATCGTCTGTTTTCACCTTCTTCCTCTCAGATTCTCGCAAAGGTTTCTTCATATGATTTGTAGCCCTTGAAGTTGGCTTTCCTATGGAACTTGAATCGTGTACATTGGATGTTTATTCAAAGAGATATGCTTGAACGATTGACAGAAGGTCATCCTGATTGTCGTTTTCAAGCTTCATTCATATTCTTTTGATCCCGAAGCCAATCCTAGAGCTCTTTTTTCCTTCAAATCTTCATCGTGAATCTTCCGGTGACCTCCAAAGCTATCAAATCATTCTCAAATGCTTCTCAAATTATCCCGATTGTTCCTCAAGTGCCGGTGCCGGGCTCAAATTCCCTGATTTTGACTACAAACAACACAAAACTCGAACCAACGCCCGGTAAACATAACTTGAGCTAAAATTGAGACTTGTAACACCTTAAAACTAGGAATATCATCAAAAGCCGATCTCAACACGCATCAAATGCGTGTCAAAATACGGACTTATCACGGGGCTGCTATTTTGGGATGAAGTGTGCAAGTAGTTGGATGATGTATGTATAGAACAAGTATTACTTTTGTTGCTTTAATTTCCTATGTCAAAACTCAATGTGCTTTCTTTATAAATATATCTATAAATACTTTAAAGTATTTGTTTCTATTCGTTTAGGTCAAGTTAAGACCTCACAGTGCTCCTCCATTGTTCTACAACTTGGTTGGGCGAGAGTACTTATTCAAAATTGAGAGTCATTGCGAGTTTAGATGGATGTGATGCTGCATTTTGCACAAGCATGACAACAGACAATAAGGAAAAAATTGAGCAGATTAAGTCATCCTGGAAAGATGAACCGGAGCTAGAGATACTTCGTTAATCTTACTTATCATAAAGTATTATTTTTAATAGAAAATATATAATAACATTCATAAGTTTAGAAAAATATGAAATATATAATTGAGTTGAAATTACAACTGGGTGAATAGAGGCTGCATATAATTCTGATTCAGATCTTGACTTAATTCTTGAACCTCGAACTATAGTAGAATCCAAGGGCACTCCAATTTTATCCTCAAAGAGAAAAACTGAGGATATAGATGTTAGCAAGAATTTCAGATGATTGATGAGTGTTTTCTCGCACTTAAAGTGGTTGTAGAAAAGTGGTGTAAAGTACGAGTATCGTCTCCACAGGGACGGACAAAAGGGAAATAAAGATTAACTAAACTTAGCGATTAAAAAGAAATAAATAGAATAAAAATGCAATTGTGCGAGATTGGTTGATTGATTAAACTAAAACTAATGCGAATGAGCGAATAAAATAAATGTTGGTTTCTTCTTAATTAATGACGAAGGGAACAGGGATTGATTCCGGGGTAAACAGATTTCTGGCAGATCAGGCTTAATTACATGAATTTAATTTAATTGAGCCTAGCTAATCATTACTAAGTTCTTACCGCTCTCGCGGCGTAGAGTACAATAATTTAGGGGACCAGGCTGATCTCTCATGCGACAAGATCCTAAATTATTGCCAAGACGAGCGAGCTTACGGCCCCTTAATCGCTACTAATCTCTTAGCGAACGATTAAGTGTGTGTGAATGTGTCCTAGAACAAATTAGATCTCTCTTAATTTATTCTATAAGCAATTGTAATTCTAGTGGCCATCTAGGTTACAAGAGATATCAATTAAATTGTTCATACACAAATTAAACGACATTCATGCAATTAAACCGACAAGAATCTAGCCATACATCATGATTAACCCCTTCATCAACCCCAAATCCCTAATTAAACTACTCACGCCTCATAATTGACGAATCAAAAGAATTGGAATGAATAGAAATAATTGTCATTAATTAAAAAGATGAAACTTACAAAGAATCCCAGGGTCTTGAACAAAACAGCGGAAAAACACTGTAAAACACGTCCCTAAGCTTCTTTCTAGGTTTCCCAACCCCAAAACGGAGTTAGGGAGGCCTTATTTAAAGAAAACAATGAGTTTGGGTCGAAAAAGGACAGATCCGCGGTACGCACGGAGCATACGCACGGCGTGCGTTGCGTCCGTGCGTCCGACGGACCTGCGCGTGAAAATAGGCAACACACGGCGTGCGTTCCCCTACGCACGTCCGTGCGTTGCTGCCAGTAGCCTCCCGTGATTTCCACGTCTTGAACGCACGGCATGCGTACCCGGACGCACGGCCGTGCGTTACTGCCAGTAGCCATTCGTCGTTTTAACGCCTTGAACGCACGGCGTGCGTACCCGGACGCACGGCCGTGCGTTGCTGCCAGTAGCTCTTCCTCAATCAACGCCTTGGACGCACGGCGTGCGTACCCGGACGCACGGCCGTGCGTTGCTCATTACTCTTTTTGCCCGCTACTGCCACGCACGCACGCCGTATCTGAATTCCTAGCAACTTAAAACAAAGGAAAAAAAAGTAAAGAATGTAATGTCTTCCTTATTCACCGTCATCTTAAACTCATCTCTACTATGCATAGAGCTCTGTACTTCAAAAACTTGCAGACCCATCAATCGAGGATGGTGTACTTCCAAGAAACATGATTCTTCCAGCACAAATGTATCCTCCAATAGCCTACGCTCCATTGGGTCAAATTCTCCGATCTGAGCCGATAAAAAAGGTGAAGTTGGTTCTTCATCCAAGGACGACGACTCCCCCAGTAATTAATCTCTGGCTTCCGGTCTTGCTGCTAGATTCAACGATAAGAAGAAGCTCACTAACAGCAAGGATTTGACACCCAGAAGTCCTGATCCTAGTTAAGGAGGATGGGAGGGTTTAGCTTCTTCAAAGCTTAAAAAACCCGTTTCTGCGGAGGTCAAGGAAATCTTGTTGCATTCTTCTCTATCAGCTTCACCAATTTTAACTTCTTCCTTAGGGTTACATAAAATTAAGAATCTGGGCCGTTGCCTAAGGGGGGCTTCTTCGGGTGATAGGTGTAGAGATTTGGTGGGTGGTTTTGGTGCTAGTAACTTGTCTAAGACCAATACAGAAGCACTCGTGCCTTGTGGCCTGGAAACTAGAAAGAAGAAGAGTGAAAAACCAACTAATTTCGAAATTCTAGTTGGATAAATCATGGGAGCAATTCGGATAGAATGTCAACTGAAAGTATACCTTGTATTAAACAGATCCTCATGTAAGAGGTCCATCTAGATTACAGAATGGTGAACCTTCTTCTGAAGTCTACCGTTGAACACACATTCAGATTCCGGCGTTTAGTTGTTTCAGAATGAGATTCATCAAAGAAATCTCATTTAATTACTTGCAAATTGGTAACCTCAACCAAAGCCCGTTTAACGGAAAATGTTAGTGGGTGGCGTAAATGCAACAAATAAGTTAGAATTTGTGTTAATTTGGATTTTGGATTACCAAAAACTTGAGTGTCCAATTTCAAATTTATTAAAAACTTTTCATTTTTGGTACTTCCCTTTTTATCATCAAAACAAACTGCTTATATTAATATCGTTAAGACTTGGATCCTTACAACAAACTCACAATGGCCAACCCTGATAACAACTATCTCTAATCAACTAGCATTATCAACCATACGGTTAGACTCATAAACGATCACCCCTGAAAGAGCAATACGAATCGCTAACCACCAAGCGGGTTTGACACAACAATCACGGCCATATAGATCCTTCTAACGACATAATATCTAGCAGAATTGTCATTCTTTATTGTAGACATAAAACTAAAGACATAAAGAAAAAACAGAGCAACATAAATAAACTTAACATGAAAGTAAGACCATAAAAAATAAAAGAGATGACAAATACTCCAAGCTCCTTCTTGCCCGTATTCTTGAAGTATCATCTTCCAAACCATATCACCTCGGTCATTCCAGAGCGGCGGTTCAGGAGTGGGGCGGTCCGCTAATCTATCTTCTCCCTTGCTCAAAACTCGATTCAGAAATTGCCAGTCAATTTTCCAAACGAAAGTATCAATCACAGACCTCCAGATTGGATCCATAGCAACACATCCAGAAACATCAACCATAGAGAAGCAGATCATGGGTAGGCATAATGTGATAACAACTACCTGTCCATTTACGCTCCAAATCATTCACCGGACAAAAAACAACGCAAGCCGCCTGTCGGAAAGACAAACCCTAGACAAAAGCTAGGGAGGAGACGACTTTTACTTTGGTATTGTTGCCGCCTCGCATCGCTCATATGGTACATTTTTAGTTCTTATATTATTATAGAGACTTTTTAATCTCATTCCTTTAACATTATTTCTACATTTAGACTTTCTACTATTATAAAATTAAGGAAAAATTGACAAGAATAATCACACCTTTCACTGGTCTTCTCATAATAATCCCACCTTTAAATAATACTAAAATAATCTCACCTTTGCACCTCATCTTCTTTCACTGGATCCTGACCATGTTTTTTACTCTTTCTTTGAAAATTATACAAATAATCTCACCTTTCACTTTTTAATTATATCCTTATAAATGTGAGATTATTTATATAAGATTTAAAAAAAAAGGTAAAAAACTTGGTCAGGGTCCAATGAAAGAAGATGAGGTGCAAAGGTAAGATTATTTTGGGATTATTTAAATGTGGGATTATCATGAGAAGAACAGTGAAAGGTGGGATTATTCCTGTCAATTTTTCCTAAAACTAAAAAATTTGGTTTGCCAACTATTAATATAATGTCATTATAATTCATCGCTTATTGTGGCAAAAAGATAGTAAAAAGTCTGAAAATGATACTTTCGTAAAAGTAGAAAGGCTAAAAATTAGAAATTCAAAAGATCAAAGTTTACTATACTTAAAAAAATCATTCCATTCATGCCAAATTCAAACATCTCAAATTACTAAATGTCAAATTATATATAAAAAAAGTCCTAAACACAAATTGATAAATAAAGATATTTCGATTTGATTTGAAACGATGATTCCTATCTAGACTTCTCAGATCTATTTAGAGTTTTATTTTATTCTAACTTGATCTAAATTTATGCGTACTTACTAATATGTACTTCATTTTGTCAAATATGATTTGACAAGGCCATCCCAAATATTCTTTATGTTCCTCAATTAAAGTCTATGTTTGACTTTACGGTCCCCTAGGTAGACGTTTGACTTTAATTATCTATAAATATGTACCTATATAATCCATAGTAAATTGACATTTAAATAATACATATTACAATGAAATACATAAAATAATTTTTTGTGACAAAATATTAATAATTTTGAGTAATTGAGAGTTAAAGTTTAATAAGTTTGACTCAAAAGTCAAACTAGGACTTCAATTGAGAAACAAAGGTAGTATAAGAAGGTCCTATGCTAATATAAAAACTTGATATTGCCAAATTATAATTATCCACATTTTTAGTACAATATGTGTAATATTACTCCTCCAACCCATTTTAAGATACACTCTTTATTTTTTTTTCTAAAAAAATTAAAAAAAATATGAATATTTTTCTAAATTGAATAGAATTTCATTAACTTGATATGAGAAGTAACTCTAAATCTTTGTTGTTTTAAAACAATATGTTGTGAGACAAATACTTTAATACTTTTACTGACAATCGACCTCTTTTACTCTTTTAAAAAATCAATGCTTGTTCAAATAATCATAAAAATTATAACTAAAAAACAAGGTTAAGCATTATATGACGATTTCCTTCATCAGAGATATATTCATATAAAAAGTTTCCTAATCTTTTTAGGTAATTTTTGTGTGAACATATCTCTGAAGAAGGAAGTCAGCCTACATACAACCTTATTCGCTTACATTGCATATGTAGATATGATTCACAATTAGAGACTTTGAATAGGAAATATAAAGTATTTATAAGCTCTAATATTGCCGGTATGGGATTAAAAAAAAAACTACCATTGCTTATGAGTCATTCTCCTCTTATAAGAGTCTAATTAACACATCAATTTTTTTTTTTATCTTGGAGTTTCAATGAAGTTGAAACAATAACTCACTCACCTCTCTCCAAATCTTATGTTATAGTTTGGGATCAAGCTGCACGTAGAGAACCCACACTGCCATCAAATGTCTGCAGCACTGAGGAAATGAATGTATAATTATATACGTCACTCCCATCAAAAGTTTAACTTATATGACCTTTGATGGGAATCAAATTCCTTGTCGCCGTGTATGGACCAATTCCTAAAATGTGTTGGGTGTGTTTCGGAAAATAAAGAAAAATAATTAAAATAAATTAATTAAAAAGACTAAAGAAAAACAGAAATTAGATGGAGCAAAAAATAGTCAGAACTCGTGCTACATACGATATCCTTAAAACATATTTGTCGCCTCCCACGATGCTAGGAGCGTTGAAATGACCGTTTCCCAGGATACAACGGCTAACAAACTATTGTTTGAGCACACAAACGAAAGTTCCGGCGAACGGAAACACAAGTAGAACACTTAGGAAGTTTTTGGAATGTTGGAGGTGTTTTAGAGCTCAAGAAAATACGTGAGGAATGTGTGTTAACGTGAGTTGTTGCAAACCACCTGTATATAAGATGATTTGTTGTGTGTTAATGGTGATTAATGGACCTGAAAGTTGGACGACATTCGTGTCGGCATGAATGGTAATTTTTGGAATACCCCCACGCAAGTCGCGGTTTTTCTTCTCCGTTTTCAGGATTTGATTTGCACCCCCCTGAGCGCAAAGAGAGCCTTTCACCTTAGGATTTTAGGAATCTTAGGGTCTGTTTACTAACAGAAATATTTTCTGTTTTTTGAAAACTTTGGAAAACTGGAGACAGAAAAATTAGAAAACGTGTTTACCGTAGTGTTTTCCAAAAGGAAAAAAACGAGACATGTCTCGCCTTTTCCTTCGTTAATTGAAAAACGACATTCGGACGTTTTCATGTTTTAGAAAACGCGGAGCTACAGTGCACCCTATTAACTCTCGCTCGCCTTCATTCTTTACAACACTCTACCTTCCTCCTCTTTATTGCGCTCTACCTTCCTCCGATCCCCTTTACTGGGTTTATCTTCCTCAGCTGTACGCCCTATTTTTACTCCTCGTCATTACTGCGCTCTACCTTCCTCCACCTAACATATTTACATCTCCCCCAAACCGCTTCAATTTAACGACAGGGTAACCCTTCCCTCTCGTATTAAAGTGGCACGCAGCTTCCCCAAAGTCATCGCAGCGCTTCTCCAACACTCTCCAGGATGCAACTTTGTTTCCCAAAGGCATTGCACCAGTCCCAGCAAACAGAGCGTAGCCGGTAGGAGCTGGACCTGCCATCACGGACTCTCCCAATTCTTCAGTCGGCTCTTGTCCTGTGAACGATTTCAAGGTAAGCTCTCAAATTAATTGGCATTTTTACTTTACCTTGTTGATAATTCGAATTCAATTGGAAACTGAAGGCCAATTGAGAATTTCTGGCTTCAGTGTAATTCCAATTCGATTTCAAGGTAAGCTTCAGTGTTTTTAATTTCTGGCTAATTTGTTTATTTCTTGATCTGTATTTCGTAGTTGTATATGGATATATATGTATCCATATTATGAATTTTTTCAACCTTTTTATGTATTAATTATTACTCACGAAGAGAATTGAAAGAGAGAGGGTTCGACTCAGATTTTTTTTGTCTCTTCCTTAACTATCTATGTTTAGTCACTTTTTTTTAGACATTTTGATTTGGGTTGAAAGACAAGGGTTCTGTGGAGTGTATATCTTATGGTTAAAGGCAGGTTATATATGGTTTTGGCTAACTTATGATGTTAACACATTACAATTTTGCTAAAATTTTGTGGTAGATGAGTTTAACTCAAGAAGAAAAGGATGATGCCATATGGCCTGATGAAAAAGAGACTTTGTTTTTGACTGTGCTATATGAAAGAGTAAAAAAAGATCCAACCGGGAATCCAACATTTAAGGGTTGAGACTGGAATGATATGGATAATGAGATGTTGGTCCGAGGTCATTATCAATATGGTAGTGACAGGTTACGGGGAAAGTACAATAGGATGAAGCTCATACATAGACAATTTGGTCAGTTATTGGCTCATACTGGAGTTACATATGATTCCAGTCGGAATGTTGTTCATGCCACAGAGGAATGTTGGCAGAAATTTTACATGGTGAATGTTTAATTTAATGACTTTATGGCAATTGATTCATATTTAATTTTTTTAAAAATCATATATTACTCAGCCATTTAATTGAGATATGTGTACTACTAATATGCAGATGAACAGGGGCTTTAAGAGTTTTAAGAGGAAGGGTTGCAAGAACTATCC